TATCAGCAGGCGCGTCCGTCTCTGCCTCGTTTGGTTCTCCTTTGCTGACCTCTGGCTACTCGAGCGCTGCAGGCTACACCACCACCAGTGCAGCAGGGTATACCAATGCTGCGGGGTATTTCTCACCACCCCCGCCGCCACCACCCGAGCCTCCACCACCGCCTCCATCCCCACCACTTCCACCACCCCTGCCGCCCTTCGCCTTGCCGCTGCGGCGCCTGCCACTGGAAGCAGACGCAACCCCAACCTCCTCAGCACCAAGGAGGTCGACAGCAGCAGCAGTGGCGACAGAGGGGAGGAGGGGAGAGGGCGAACATCCCTCGAAGAAGGGGGTGCGAGGAGTGCCTCGAGAAGCGCTACAGCGTTAATGCTAACCTCGGCCGCTGTAAGGTGCTTTTCGAGGAGGTCTATAGTGAGCTCAGTGGGGTCCATGGTGAGGAAGGTGTCCCTGACAGCGCGAAGAGAGTCAGGGAGGCGAGTGACTAGGAGGTAGAGGGTGTAGTGAATATGGGGAGGGTTCTTGGCGAGGAAGTCGGCAGGGGTCGCAGCACGCACCCTAGCGTCGCTAGTGCGGAGGTGGGTGATGAGATCAGCGACTGTAGGAAAGGCGGACAGGTCAGGAAAGAGGTAGGGCAGGATAAGACGGCCTAGCGCAGCAGTGGCAGGCGAGCTGTAGCGAGCTACGACTGCGTCGAACAGGTCCTTGGCGGTTTTCTGCTAGCTAAAGTGCGCGAGCCCGGCTAGTGGCGGGTGGTTTCGCACAGCTAGGCGAGCAGCAGCGTCGCGAATAAGCCACTGGTCACGAGTGTCAGCGTCAGCAGTGTCTGCAGGGACCAGACGTATGAGCGAACAGGGACACACGATCCTTAGACTCGCACTGAAGGTAGAGCCTAAGGTTGTCTAACCAGGTCTCAAATTCAATCGACGGCCATCTGCGTCAAAGGTGAGCACGTTATAAGTCGCCATAGTTGGTAGCGCAGGGCAGGAAGGCGGCACTGACTAGGTTAGGGGCGGCAGGCAGGGGAGGAAGCGGACGGCATGCAACGCTGGGCAGGGAGCACGGCAGGCGGTGCTACGCAAGGGCAGGGCAGGGATGCGTGGCGGCTGGCTGCGCACGGGCAGGGCAGGTGGCGCGGCGGCGGGCGGCGCACAGGCAGGGCAGGGAGTCGCGGTTTTGGGCTGCGCACGGGTAAGGCAGGGAGGCGCGGCGGCTGGCCGCGCACGGGCAGGGCAGGTGGCGCGGCTGCGGGCTGCGCACGAGCAGGGCGGGGAGGCGCAGCTGCGGGCTGCGCACGAGTAGGGCAGGGAGGCGCAGCCGCGGGCGGCGCACGGGCAGGGAGGGTGGCGCGGCGGCGGGCTGCGCACGGGCACGACAGGGGGCGCGGCGGCGGGCTGCGCACGGGTAAGGCAGTGCGCGCGCGAGCGGCGCACTGGCAAGACAGGCGCGCGGGCGGCGGGGCGACGCGGCAGCAGCGCGACGCGGCCAGCAGTGCGCGCGGGGTGGGACAGGCAGAGCAGCGCGCTAAAAAAAAATCGCGCTGCAGTAGTGGCGCGCGGCTAAGAGGGGCAGCGCGACTCGGGACAGTGGGGTAACGTGGTAACAGGTGGGCCCTATGATACAACTTAGGTCCTAAGGACCCATGGCTCTTCATACCATGTTAGAATAATGCACTAGGATGGATTTGACTAAGGCAGGGAGTGATAGAAGTATGAAACCCTAAAGGGGTTGAACTTCTCAGTGGCTAACCCACTGCAGCCTACGGTATAACAATAAAAAAATAACGTTTAACACTGCAGTGGGGTACTGTATAACGAGTATAGCCCAAATTACGGTTTCCTATATGTACTCAACTGTCTGCTAGTGAAAACCCTCTTTGTCTGTTCTAGCTTTCTGCTGCTTGTTTTGACAGAAATGTGACTGGTTGACATCGGTAAAAATATGGATGAAGAACTGCTAGCACACCCCTTTCAGCCATGGACTCCTATGCTGACAAAACTGATGTACCAGGTACTTGATTGATTTTTTTCACATTGTCCTCACCTCATATTACCAAGGTTTTTTTTTTTTTTTTTTTCTACGGTAAATACTGGTTGGTAACAAAATACCTGCAATGCGTCTGATAATACTGAGGGGGTGTTACATTTGCGCACTTTGCAGCTGGTCCGCAGCGGTTCAGGCCAATCCCTCGCGGTCTAGCGTGGACCAGCCACGGACCAGGTGTGGACCCGACTTGCACCCGCCCACGGACCAGCGTGTACAGTGCGAGCCGCACATACGAAAATGACGCTCCACATAGAGGACCATTTCCAGAGCGACCCAAGGCGATAAGAATCACATGCGAAAACTGCACTATATTTATTTCGCCAAAACTATCTGCCAGTTGCGACATCTCGTTCAAGCGTGACCAGGTACACTTGTATTTTCGTTAACATTTCGTTTTCGAAGCTGCATGCACTGTGCATAGCTGGTCCGCCGCAAATGGTCCCCAGTACGACGCGGGTACCAGGTGGGGCCACTTTTGGAAGTGGTCCCTGTAAAGTGGTACTCCCTTGCAATAGCTCGTCCATTTCCTTGTAAATGGACCAGCGCGCAATGTAACACCCCCTGAGTTTATCCGATAGTTTGTGCCAAAAGAAGTCTAGATCGAGAAAGGATTTGTTGAAACGCTTTTCCTAGCTAAATATTTACTAGGACTTCCGTTTTATACCCGAACTAAAAACGGTATATGTTTAGCATGTTCTTTCCACTTTCTTTATGTGCTGTACGGACTAAGGACGCGTCCCCTCAACGCCGATCTTGAGATCGATCCTACGTAGGTTCGATTTTTTGCGTGGTTAAAAAAGCTTCTATAAATTTTCAAAACGATGCGCACAGTATTAGTACGGTGGAGGGTCGACTTTCGACGATCGATCGCAGGATTGGCGTTCAGGGGAGTCAGCCACCAAGATATCTGTTTACCCGTTTGACCCTCGTTCTCCTCTGTACATGACCATCCGAACTAGCTAGCCGTTGGGCCTTGCTGGAGCATGTGGTGTCCTGTCTCCTCCGCCTGTCGCTACTAGCTTCCACTCTCCTCGCCTCGCGCTATTCTCGTCTCTTCTCGTCTCCTATCCTTTTCTAACCTTTCTTGCACTTCCGTTGGTCTCTTAGTATCTGACTAACCTCTCCTCGAACTCAAGAGTCTGAGTTACACGCCGCTGCTCTGCTGTCATCCTCGCCGAGTCAACCCGGCGTCAACCCGGCCTTACGGGAAGATTGCTGTGAAATGTCACTCCTAGCAAGACAACGCAGCAACTATTGTGTCCAGCGACGCACATCGTGTTACGATTCCACACATCGAGGCATAGGATGAGTCGTCCGAGTCAACTAGGCGAGTTAGCAAGGCAGGATCGTAACATCGTATCCCGCATGCTGCGATCCGACCGTTCTCCGATAGCAACCAGGCGTAGCACGAGTAGTAATCCGGGTATAAGAACCAAGCCAAAGCCAGATTCAACCATCGCAAGCTCTTCGCCTTACTACTTGTCCTGCTATCTCCAGCTGCTCTCACCCGCTGCAAAGCTAGGTTCTAGCAGTCCTTCGCAATACTATCTCCGGTTACTCTAATTCCTCCGTCCGCTGATCGACTCGTGCCGCGCTCAACAATGGCTCCCGCTAAGCTCCTCTTCGCCGTCGTCGTCGCGCTCCAGGCCTCCGCGATCCTCGCGCAGGTGTGCTCGTGCGACAACTGCGAGACGGAGGCCCCTCCCTGCTACGCCAGCAGGTGAGGCTCCCGATTCAGATTTGAAATAATTCACCCAAATATGTTGGTCATTTGGCAGGTCCATTGCAATGCAACTGCACAACAACTGTGATCCTGGCAAGTAGCGCGTTGACTGTGCGTGCTGCTTTTCACCCTCCTGCCTGCGTGGTGGATCAAGGACAACTGCAACTCGCAGTCGCTCTGGAACAGCGTCAAGGGGCCCACCTTCACCTCTGCCTCGCTTCCTCTCCCTGTCTGTCCCCTCCCTTGTTTTCCCCTGCTACCTCTGTAGGTGGTACAAGTGGTGGGTCAAGGACGACTGCAGCTCGCAGACGCTGTGGAACAGCGTGCAGGCGTCCAGCGACGTGCGCAGCAGCGTGCTGGCCGTGTGGGGCCCCGGCACCCCCGGTGCCAGCAGCAACTTCCAGGACTACGTGCTCATGGCGGCCAACAACAAGAAGAACCCCAGCTGCGTCAAAACGTACCTGCTCGACTGGATCAAGTGCAAGGCTGCGCCCACCGACTCGGCCGTTCAGTTTTACAACTCGGCGCTGGGCGTGGGGGTGAGCGGGGTGAAGGATGTGCGGTCACTCAACACGTTTGTGACGGCGGTGATCAAGAAGATTGGCCAGACCGTCTTCAACACGCTCGCTGGCATGCTCAAAAAGCGCGGGCTGCAGGCTCAGGTTGTTATGGCGGGATCATGGTGCTAGATGCTAGATATATTCTATCAAGATTGATTCCAAGGCGGGATTGTGGTGCTAGAAGTACCGTATTGAATCATGAGCGTGCTGCTTGTGTTACTTGTGGTTAGCGTGGAAGCCTTTCTTCGCTGTTTCGGTGTGGGGAGGTTTGGCTGGTATGGGTACTGTACCGTATGTTCAAAGTTGCTGAAGTAGTGGGGACTGCAGGCTAGTGTGAAGCAAGCTAGGTGTAGTGTTGATGTATCTGGTGTACAAAAACAAAGCATTTCACTCATGACTTGTCTGTTGCGAAGTACAAAGTGATGCAGTCTATAGCGTTGTCAGCATCCTCCCAGCTGCGCCCCACAAACGTGACCTGCAGCCCAATGGCTCGCTGCAGTGCCGGCTTCAGCTGCGAGTATATCACCGTAACTGCCCCGCTGCTGCCCCCCCCTGCTTTCACGTCCGGCTCCCCCAGCGCTGCCACCACCTCCTTGGCTTTCATACTCACCCTGGAAGGAGGGGAAAGGGGATGAGATGACAAGTGCGAGAAGATAAATGCACACGAATCTACTCAAAGGCTGTGAGCTCCACTGCTGGGCCCCTTTGGTTTCGTGTCCGGCTCCCCCAACGCTGCCATCACCTCCCTGGATTTCATGCTCACTCTGGGAAAGAGGAGCGGCATGAATCCTGACAGCGATTACCCCTCCTTCTGCCTTTCTCCCCAAGAAGAAGGGAGAGGGGATGAGTTCATGAGGAGTGGAGGTGAGGGGTGGGGGATGGGAGAAGCGTGTGTACAACGGCTATGGCCCCTCTTCTATCTCCCCGCCTCTGTTTCGCCTTGCTTTCACGCTCACACTCTCCAGCGTATTCACCCCGTCCCTGGCCTAAATGCTCAGCCTGGGAAACGGAAGGGGAGGGGGGAAAGGGGAGGACAGGAGAAGTGTGAGATAAGGTATGGATATGAGGGTAAGTGTGGCCCCTGTTGTTGCTTTGCTACCGCCCTACCCTGCTTGCACGTCTGACGGCCCCAGTGCCTGCCTCCACCCCCTCCCTGGCCTTGATGCGCAGATTGAGAGAGGGGAAGGGAATGAAGGGATATATAGTTGGCCGTCGACGCTCAAGCAGGGTGATGTGCGTGGGTACAGCGATGCTCTACACATGCACGCCGCTGTACCCACACACGTCATGCTAACCATGCATAGTGACTCTCCTCCCAGCTATTTGCATGTCATATAAATTTCACAGGAGAGTCACATGCATGGCACTGTACATGTGCACCGCTGCCACCCTCAGCTTGCTGCGTGCGAAATGCACGTCACATACATGGAAATTGACTGCTAAATGCATATAACTCACGCATCCATGAGACTTGACTGTTACATGCTTGTGACTTGACTCAAACTCACCGCACTCACTTGGGTCCGAGTGGAGCCTGTTACATGCACGTGTATGGGTCCAGTGAGCCCCTTGTACCCATACACGTGCATCGCTGCTACCCTTTCCTCCTGCACATTCATGGTAGTGGACTGCTACATGCGTGCAATTTGCTTCCCTACACGCATGCGATGCGACTCAAACACGCCATACTCACTTGATTCCGAAATAAAGTGGTGCACTGAACGCCTTGCACCCATGCACGTCGCTATACACGTGCAAGATCACCACCCTCCCAGCTCTTTGCGTGTCACATGCATGTGGCTTAACTTTTTCATCATTCTAGAAAACGCTCACGAGAGCATGCACTCACTTGAGACCAAATGGAAGAGTCCCTCCCAGCGAACGCCGTGTATCCATGCACGTCACTGTACACGTGCACGGCTGCCGCTCTCCCTCCCAGCTCCTTGCAATTCACATGCGTGTGACTTCAGTCACTTGAGTCTTACATGTAAGCATACATGCACTCACTTGAGTCCAAAAGGGAGAGTCCCAGCGAACTCCTTGTACCCATGCACGTTGCTGTACACGTGCACGGCCGCCACCCTCCCCTCCTCCACACACAGTGACAGCCCCAGCGCCTTGAAGTTCACATACTCACACGCTGCCCGCCCCCTCACTGCTGGAAACGCCTTCCTCTCCGCCTCCAGGGGGCTGCTCGCACCCCCTGTGCTGCTGCCGCTGCCGCTGCTGCTTGTGTTGCTGTCTGTGCTGCTGCTGCTGCTGCTGCTGGCGGTACTGCTGCTGGCGAGAGTGGCAAGGAGCTGAGTGGCAACGGGGTCGTCTGGGGTGCGATCGAGAAAGCTCAGCACTGAAGACGCCATGGCTGCCCGGCTGGAGGGGATTTGGCGTGGTTCAGAGCGGTGCAGAGTGCTCAAAGCTTTTTCGGAATGCTCTGAGGCGGATCAGATCGCACGCAGTGCTGTGATTGGTTCTGGGAGGAAGAGGGATGGGAGATCGATTGGATGGAAGGAAGGATGCCGGTTGGTGGTATGAGGTGCAGGGAAGCGAAGAGGTTCATTGGAGCGGGAAAATGGTAAGAGGATCTTATTGCTGGGGAGGAGAGCAAAAAGGCGAGTGACGTATGAAGAAGCGGGCAGGTGCGTGGAAGGAAGGAAGGAAGAGAAGAGAAGAGAAGAGAAGAGAAGAGAAGAGAAGAGAAGAGAAGAGAAGAGAAGAGAAGAGAAGAGAAGAGAAGAGAAGAGAAGAGAAGAGAGAGCCATGGAGGTGAGAGGGAGGGAAGGATGAGAGAGTACTGGAAAATACTAAAACGGAAGAAGCCAAATAAGGGAACATAGGAACGTGGGATTGCCGCGTTGAAACTGTGCCGATGGTGACACCACGGAGCGTAATAAAGATATGACTGGCTGGAACAATGACAGCGGTCGACTGGTCCAGCTCTAGTAGATCCTGCATACGGTACGGCTCGCACACGAGACCACGATTCAGCGGCCTTGCGATCGCTGCCGCGTAAGGCAGCAATGAGCTCGACAAATGGATATTTGGCTCTGATTTGATCAGAGACTGAACAAGAAACTTCCAGGCTTTAAGTGTGGTGCATAAGATCGGACAAAGTCGCTCGCCTAGGTTAGGTTAGGTTCTCACCACGAGCCTCAGATCGTCATGACGGTTGCGCCTGGTGCGATTGAGCGAGCACCAGTTGCGCTTTTACGTCAACGCCAATCACGTGAGTCAACTCAAAAGGCGGCACCAGTTGCGCACGGTTGGGAAAGCACATGCGACTGACTGGCTGGCGCTGGTTTGTCACTCAGCGAGCATGCCGTGCCTCGGGGATGATGGGGTAAGGCGAGGTGAACCAAGCAAACTCTTCAGAGTGGCCACTGAAATAGCCAGAGAGAAGGAGAGAATGCGAGGGCGGGGAAAGGAGGAACAAAAAAATGGGCATGGTTCAAGTGTAGGATGTCATGTGAAGCACAAGCAAAAGAGGAAGTCAAGAATGGACAGGTGCGCTGCGCAGGCCCTACTTCCATCAACTTGAGTAGGTGTGCAGGTTCAAGCAGAGGGTGTGATGTGATGTGATGTGATGTGATGTGATGTGATGTGATGTGATGTGATGTGATGTGACGTGATGTGATGGGACGGGACGGGACGGGACGGGACGGGACGGGACGGGACGGGACGGGACGGGACGGGACGGGACGGGATGGGATGGGATGGGATGTGATGTGATGTGATGTGATGTGATGTGATGTGCATGTGATGGGATGGGATGGGATGTGATGTAATGGGATGGGATGGGATGGGATGGGATGGGATGGGATGGGATGGGATGTGATGTGATGGCACAAGAAGGGGACAGAGAGGAGAGGGAAAATGAGGAAGGAAGTAGATAGGGAAGGGGGGAGATAGGGAAGGGGGGAGACAGGGAAGGGAGAGGAGAGGGAAGGGAGGAAATAGGAAGAAGAGGGAGAGGGAACGGGTGAGATAGGAAGAGGGGGGAGATAAGAAAAGCGGTGAGAGAGAAGGGAGGGATAAGGAAGAGGGGGGAAAGGGAAAGGAGGAGAATGGAAGAAGGGGGGAGGGAAAGATGAGATAGGAAGAGGGGGGAGAGGGAAGAGAGGAGATAGGAAGAGGGGAGGGAGGGATGGGCGGGATAGGGAAGAGGGGAAACAGGGACGACGGGAGAGGGGGACTATAGGAGAGAGGGAACGGAGGAGATAGGACGATGGGGGAGCAGGAATAGGGGAAAATGAGTGGAAGGAGGGGGAAGAGAAATGAGGGGAAGCAGGGGGGAATGAGGGGAAGCAGGGGGGAATGAGGGGAAGCAGGGGGGAATGAGGGGAAGCAGGGGGGAATGAGGGGAAGCAGGGGGGAATGAGGGGAAGCAGGGGGGAATGAGGGGAAGCAGGGGGGAATGGGGGGAAGCAGGGGGGAATGAGGGGAAGCAGGGGGGAATGAGGGGAAGCAGGGGGGAATGAGGGGGAGCACGGGGGAATGAGGGGGAGCAGGGGGGAATGAGGGGGAGCAGGGGGGAATGAGGGGAAGCAGGGGGGAATCAGGGGAAGCAGGGGGGAATGAGGGGGAGCAGGGGGGAATGAGGGGAAGCAGGGGGGAATGAGGGGAAGCAGGGGGGAATGAGGGGGAGCAGGGGGGGAATGAGGGGGAGCAGGGGGGAATGAGGGGAAGCAGGGATGGGGAAGAAAGTGGGGCGCGGGGGGAGAGGAGAAGGGATTTGTTTAATTTCGCTCACAGCCTTGGAGGTATTCGAAGGGAGAGGTAACTAGAGGGAATGGAAGGGAGAGGTAACTAGAGGGAATGGAAGGGAGAGGTAACTAGAGGGAATGGAAGGGAGAGGTAACTAGAGGGAATGGAAGGGAGAGGTAACTAGAGGGAATGGAAGGGAGAGGTAACTAGAGGGAATGGAAGGGAGAGGTAACTAGAGGGAATGGAAGGGAGAGGTAACTAGAGGGAATGGAAGGGAGAGGTAACTAGAGGGAATGGAAGGGAGAGGTAACTAGAGGGAATGGAAGGGAGAGGTAACTAGAGGGAATGGAAGGGAGAGGTAACTAGAGGGAATGGAAGGGAGAGGTAACTAGAGGGAATGGAAGGGAGAGGTAACTAGAGGGAATGGAAGGGAGAGGTAACTAGAGGGAATGGAAGGGAGAGGTAACTAGAGGGAATGGAAGGGAGAGGTAACTAGAGGGAATGGAAGGGAGAGGTAACTAGAGGGAATGGAAGGGAGAGGTAACTAGAGGGAATGGAAGGGCAGCGAAGGGAGGCAAGGGATGGGCAGGTGAGAAGGGCAGGAGAAGAGGAGGCGCCACGAGGGGAGGGGAGGCGCGACAAGTAGAGGGCCGGCGAGTCGGGGGAAGGCGCGACGAGAGGAGGGGAGGCGCGACGACGGGAGGGGAAGAACGAGGAGGGGAGGCGCGACGACGGGAGGGGAAGAACGAGGAGGGGAGGCGCGACGACGGGAGGGGAAGAACGAGGAGGGGAGGCGCGACGACGGGAGGGGAAGAACGAGGAGGGGAGGCGCGACGACGGGAGGGGAAGAACGAGGAGGGGAGGCGCGACGACGGGAGGGGAAGAACGAGGAGGGGAGGCGCGACGACGGGAGGGGAAGAACGAGGAGGGGAGGCGCGACGACGGGAGGGGAAGAACGAGGAGGGGAGGCGCGACGACGGGAGGGGAAGAACGAGGAGGGGAGGCGCGACGACGGGAGGGGAAGAACGAGGAGGGGAGGCGCGACGACGGGAGGGGAAGAACGAGGAGGGGAGGCGCGACGACGGGAGGGGAAGAACGAGGAGGGGAGGCGCGACGACGGGAGGGGAAGAACGAGGAGGGGAGGCGCGACGACGGGAGGGGAAGAACGAGGAGGGGAGGCGACGAGTGTGCTGGCACGACGAGGGAACGGGAGGCTTCACGCGGGGAGAAACGACAATGGGAGGGAAGGCGCGACGAGGGGAGGCGCGATCAGGGGAGGCGCGATCTGGGAAGGCGCGACCAGGGGAGGCGCGATCAGGGAGGAAAAGCTCGACGAGGGGAAGGGAGGCGCGACGACCTGAGGCACTCGGCAGTGCGTGGGCAGGCGTGGTGAGGTGGCCTCACTCACCTGGGCGACCGCACTGAATAGTTTGTGTGTAAAGCTGAGTTTCCTAATGCTTGGTTTCTCCTGCGGCGAATGAGCCAGATGATTTATTGGGCAGAAAATGCGAACTCCTCGCGTTCTAGTTCTCGCTTTCGCGCTTCTTTTTCTAAGGACTGGCACTGAACGCGGTTTGATGTGATGCGTTATAAAGCAAAGAGGTGGCCTAGAGAAAAGTAAATCTTGGATACGATTTCGAAAGAAATTTAAATTTAGGATAGGTGTCAAAAAAATATTTACGCAAATGCTGGAAAATCGATACTTGGAGAACATGGTAAGTAGAAACATGCATGATTATCAGAGTTACCACTATTTTTGGCAGCACAATAAGTAATGTCTCCTCTAATTCATTGCTATGACAAATATTACTCCGTCATATTGGGCCACTCTACACATTCGTGGTACAGGCTGTCAGCAAGCAGGAACGTACTAGATTTACGTGGATGAGACTTAGCGAAGGATCGCTTAGGGTTGATCGCAGGTATTATTGCAGCGGAAGATTTGAACTCAGGTCAGAGTGAATGTAAATGACTGAGATTGATAATAGCATGCATACATAGGGTTTATATAGGAAATACAAAGGAATGCGAAACGACCTAGACTAGCCATGTACTCTAAGGGGTACATTCCCTTATTGCAGTGAAACTCAAACCGTGCGGCGCGGGAACCAGTTTCAAACCTGTTCCCGCTCTTTTCACTTCAAATGTTTCTGCCTGCATCGGTCTTGGTCAGACGGTTGGAGGTGTCGCTTCGAGTCTTCTGACGCCTCGACTTCATACTCGCTAGAGTGAGCTCCTGCAGCATATAGGAATGCCTATTCATAAAACTTCATATCGTAACACTCCCCTTCATTCCTAGGCGCGCTGAGGGCTGATTCGCTTGACCACGTCGGTAAGGTCGGAGCAGTGCTTGAACTGCTGACGTGGCAGACGCTTGGTGAGAAAGTCGGCTGCCATCTCAGTGGTTGGGCAGTATGCGAGGTCAACCTTGACTTGGTCAATTTCGTCTTTGTCGTGCCTTGATCTTGATCGCGCTCTGGTTGTCGCAGTGCAGGCGAAAGGTGGGCGAAGTTGGGATTTTCGCCTCCTGTAGCAGCTCCTGCAGGTACAGGCCTTCGCGAACTGCTGCTGTCGCGGCGATGTATTCTGCTTCAGCCGATGACAGGGCAACCAGTTCCTGCTTCTGCGAGTTTCAGGAGATTGGTCCGGTTGGTTCCAATCGAAAAACGAAGCCGGTTCGGGACCGTCGATTTGCAGGGTCAGCGGCATGATCTGCATCCACGTAGCCGTTATGGTTGAAGGAGGTTGTTGCCAGCGTGGAGTAGGAGAGCCCGATGTCAGGTGTGGAAATGAAGTACTGCAGGGCGCGCTCCAGGTCCAGCTGGTTCTCAGCTACTGGCTTGCGGAAGTACTGTGCTAGTTGGCTGGCGATGTACGAAAGGTCGGGTCGGCATGTGACAGAGGCGAACAGCAAACATACTAGTTGCTGCTGATGCAGTTGGAGTTCGGCGGGTGACAGAGGTTTGTTGTCCGGTTTATAGTTGGCGCTGGGGTTGCGGTAAGGAGTTGAGAGTGGTGCGTGTGAAATGTTGAAGCGTTCTCCCAGCTGTTCGGCGTACTTGGAGGCTGACAGGTGAATTGCTTCTGGCGCGTAGGTGATGTTCAAGCCCAGAAACTGCGTGACGTTGTGGTTGATGGTAATATCCACGCGCTTCGCCAGGTTCTCCTCGAACTGGTTAAGAAGCTTGTTGCAGGTGCCAGTGTACAGCAGGTCGTCGACGTAGACAGTCAGGAGGATGTAATCGCTGTTGAAGTGCAAATGATACATTCCCGGGTCGTGCGGCAGCTGCCTGAAGCCAATGTCCATGAATATTTTGTGCAGGTGCTGCTGCCAGAGCCGCGACGCCTGCTTTATCCCATAGAGGGGTTCCTTCAGCTGACAGACCCTGGGATCGCCTTCTCCGTAGGTGTGAGGCTGCTCCACGAAGATGGTAGCATCCACTAGTGCGTATAAAAATGTGTTCTTGACGTCGATCTGCCGTAGTGGTAGGCGCTTAGCGGCAGCAACGGCGATTAGAATCCTGACAGAGGTGTTGCGACTGACGGGGGCGTCGAAATCGATGTCGTGTCGCTGGTCGTATCCACGTACGACCCATCGTGCTTTGAAGCGTTTGATGGTTCCGTCAGCGTTGGTCTTGAGGCGAAATACCCACTTTCCGCTTAGCACCCTCCTCCCCTTCACTGCTGCACGATCGACTAGGACCCAAGTATCGCGTGACTCCAGCGCTTTTAGCTTGGCGTCCATAGCAGCGCGCCACTCCTTAGCATGAGGGCCGGTCAGGGCCTGGCGCGGGTTCTTAGGTTCAACAGCGCGGACGAGGGTAGAGACTAAAATGTGCAGGACGAGTAGTTGAAGGCCAGACACGTTCGCGGCGCCTGTGGTGTGGTGTGGTGTAGTTGATGGCCGGGTGAGGCGGTGCTTGGCTCGGTTTGGCGGCGGGATGGTCCAGGTGTGGGCGCGTCATCACTGTCGTCGTCATCATCGTCGGTGCGAGGGCGAGGTGGAACAATGGGAAGGTCGTCGGCAGGATCTCGATCGAGTGCTGCTGCTGCTGCCTCGTCCTCAGGGGATGCGAAGCTGCGGCCGCTGTTGGCGTAGGCGCGTGCGGTGTTGCTGCGCTGATCATCAATCCTCTGCTGCAAGGTGAGTCGTTCATAGAAGAGAACGTCGCGCGCGGGAATGATTTTGTTGGTGTCGATGTCGAGAATCAGCCACCCTTGATATTCGTAGCTGAGTCCCAAGTGCACTCCCCAACGCGCGCGGTGAGTGAACTTGCCGATGGTCGCGGAAGTCGGCCGATATTGCACCACACACCCCCAGACCCTCAGCATGGAGGTATCTCCCCTTGAGCCGGTCCACTTCATGTGCGGTGAGAGATTTCCCCGGTTGCTGTGGTGGAGAGGAGGTTATGCACGCGCACGGCGTGGTTCTACGGCCAGTACTTCTGGGGTAAGCCAGACTGGTTCATGAGCGCGCGCACTTTTGTCATCAGTGTACGGTTAACTCTCTCAGCGACGCCTTGCTGCTGATGAGCGTAGAAAGAGGTGCTTGATTCCCTTCTCCGCAAGAACTCCTTCCACCTCGACGCTGCGAAACTCCTTGGCGCCATCAGTTTGCCAGTTTTTCAGCTTCTTTCCAGATTCCCGCTGTGCGTGTGCGAGCCAGATGCGGAAGACTTCAGGAGCCTTGGAGCGGACGTCAACGTTGGCAATCCAGACGTGGCGTAAGAAAGCGTCGATGAAGGTGAGTGTGTATTGCTCGCCGTTGATGCCCTCGGAGGTGAGTACGATGAAGTCACTTTAGACCTTCAGCAGCTTCTTGTAGCGATTGGTGCTGGGTTCCAGAGAGGGGTATGCTTGGTGTGTGAGGGCTGCAGTGGGGCAGACAGTGCATGTGGTTGGGTGTGTTGTGCTGAGGGGTTCAGTGTCGTCAGAACGCAGCAATGCTCCTGGAAGAAAAACTTTTGCGCCGAGGCAGTTGTTGAATGTCTGGCGTAAGGGGTGACTGAGTCGCTGGTGCCAGAGGTCATCATCTGCGCGAATTCCGGAGGTGCGCAAGTAACGTGCGTGGTACTCTGCCGCTTCTGCTTCTGTTTCGTGAGGGATTAGGAGCACGGGCCCTTCTTCTTCTCCTGGTTCTGGTTCATTGTTTTGCTCCTCTTCTTCTGTGTCTGCTGCTGTCTCCCCTTCTGCAGTTGCCGTCGTGAGATAGAGCTCGAGGAAGTTCCGATCGGGGATGATGTTCAGTGGTGTCCTCGTGCCTTCGATGAATCGCGCGAATGGATCTGGGCGGGAGATTGGACCGAGTGAGTCACGGGGTGGAGTTGGTGGTACATTCCCCTCCTCAATCTCTGACCAGGGATCAGTCCAACGATGAGGTGAGCGAGGTGGCGGGGAAAGATTGCGAGGGGGTCGGCCGAGCGGAATGGTGACTCGTGGAGATGGCAGATCTACTCTCATTTCTTTTTCTGATGCTTCCAGTTCTCCCTGAGTGAGATCCCCTTCGGTAAGATTGCGTTGCTCTAGAGAGCCCCATCCGCCAGTTCTCCATGCGCCTGTTGCGGATCCCCATGCGCCTCCTGTGGTGCCGCTGGTGCCTTCGTTATCGTCGTCGTCGCTCCAGCCACCGCGGCGCGCTGACTCCTCGTCCCAACCGGCCGCTACGCGCTCCTCTTACATTTTTTGTTTCTTCTCAGCTTTTGCCCTGTCTTCTTCTTCCTTGACGCTTAGCCCCCCTTTTGCATAAGGATCTTTCCACGACTTGTCAATCTTCGTGTGGTAAATGTCGCGGGTGTATGGGCGCGGGCGGTTCTCTTCGTCGAAGGTTCCAGTTTTGGCTTCGAGGACGAAGCGGAGCGTGTCTGCGCGCGGCGCTGGGCGTTGTACGGGCAGTTGTCCAAACGTTTTGTTTTCCTCGCCGAAGATGCGGTGAGTGGCGACGGCGAGTTCAGTTTCCGTCATGCCTTCTGGCTCTGCTTCAGCACTCCACTTCTTCTGTGCGGCTTGCCGTGGGTGTGTGACACGTAGTGCAGAGTCTGTCGGCGCCGATTTGATGCAGATTAATCTCTTGTCGGTGCGGACTGCGTCGGATCCATGGTCGCCCGTCTGGGTGTTTCCATGACTCTTTGTTTATGAACGAAAAATCCAGGGGTACGAGATCAACAGGCTCGTCCGACGAAGCTTGGCAGCTGGGTATGTCGAAGTCTAGTACGTAGATGCCGTCCATTGAGCGGGCCCTTCCGAGATACTTGTGGGACTCGGGGGGTGTGTTCGGGGGAGCGCGGGTGAGGATGAGGTCGCGCGTGAATGAGTCCGTGGCGATCATGACTCCGCATTCCCTGAGTTGCCCTGCCAAGAGGAGGTTGAAGCGGAGATTCGGGACGTATAGCACGTCGTTGAACGAGATATGCGTCTTGACCATGATGCCTGGTGAGTTGGCGCGCAGCTGCTCGTTGTTGGCGACGGTGACATAGGTCGCGGGAGCGCGGGTGACGTTGGAGATGTATTTGACGCACCCCACCATTTGCTGTCCACAGCAGCTGTCCACGTACCAGGTGTTATGATTGTCTTGGTTGTTGCGCAGAAGTAGCACGAGTCGCGGGGTTACCAGGGTTGCCTTGTATCTCTGTTCGTACTGTTCGTTGTCATGGAGCGGACTTTCTCACAACTGTATTGGCTGATTTCAATCCTGTTCTTCCTCGTCGTACAGGTAAT